GATGGTTTACCCTGCTGGTTCTGCCTGGCAAGTTTTATTATATTGGCCAGGGCTCACTCTGGGGAAACTTTAAAGGCAATATGGCCCTGGTAGGCAGCCCTAGGTCAGTGAAAGGCGTTATGGAAAGAGAGATCTGTCTGGATGTGTTGGATGTTGTTCTCTGAAGCTGAGACTTAGCGTTTTAAGAAGACCAGTGCATCAAGAACAAGAAGCTTTTGGTATGAGGTGTTAGTTGTGTTTGATTGGTCAGCTTCAGGCAGTGCTGGAGGAGACAAGATCCTTTAGAAAGATCAACATAAAAGATGCAGTAGCTATCTTAGCAGTGAAGAGGAAGCTTACTGCCTACTGAAGTCAATGCACTGAGCTCTGGTAGATCGTATCCAGCCACAGTTAGCTGCCATGGCAGGACAGAATGGCTGGGCTTTTAAATCTGTGCAAAATCAAAGCCGGAGTGGGTGCAGTGAGGCAGTGGAGTATAGGGCTGACTTAGCCTGGAGGGCAGATAGTGTCTGTGTGTGGGAAGAAAAAGACTCTACCACCCTCTGACTTCAGTATCTGTGGCAGCAGTGTTACTGGAATTATATAGTCTTTGTCTGTGCTATAGGTGGGCTTGGTTTTTAATGAGATTGCATTTTGAGGTTCAGTTTTGCATTTCGTAGTTTTATTGATTATACAGAAAGCTTTACTGTAGGTTCAAATTTAACAACAGTCTTGTGCTATCAGCTGTTGTGTCTTTGATATTACTTATTTCCGTTCTGTTAGCAACACATATTATCCATTCTCTTGTCTAACGCTCTTCTTGTTGCCTAGATACAGCTACTAGATTTTGCTAGATTTTGCTACTTGCATAGCGTTAAATGATTCTGCTTGTCTGCTTAAGTCTACTGTATTAATTGCTCATCTCTAGAGGAAGCAACAGCTAGCAGCAATTCTCTAGCCATTAGGAAACAGATTGTAGTGTAACACACAAGATAATCTTTAATTTATAGTAAAGAAAGATTGCTTTCCTTTTTCTTCTTCTTCCCCCTTCCCCCCCCCCCCTTTTTTTTTTTTTTTTTTTTTGTTTTTTGTATTTTTTTTTTTTTTGTTTTTCTTCTTCTTCCCCCTTCCCCCCCCCCTTTTTTTTTTTTGCTGTGGTTGAATATAGAGATTTTTAGTATGCTGTTGGTTACTTTAGTGTGGTCATGAGCAGCTCTGGGGGGAAAGCTGATCTGCTCACTTTCTTTTCACTGTAGCAAGAAGCAATTTCAGTAGCACAGCAAAGCTGAAATTGCATAGGCAACAATTAAGCCTTTCCACTGAAAAGGAGTGATGCGCAGCAAGCTGGCAGGTTTTGTTTGGTGACAAAAATCTGCACGTCAGGGGAACTGATTAAAACTTTAATTTTATTTTGTCAGGATTTTCCTGTAAAACATCTAGTTCTTATGATACCTAGTACTGCATAAATTATGCTAAATAAATACTGCTCTTGCCAGTAAAAACCTGAAAGACTTATTTTACATACAGAAATGTTTACGATTTAACTAGGAAGTATATGCTTTGTCAGTAATAGGAGTAGGGAAACACATGGATTTTAATGTTAAACTACTGTCTCATTTGGTGACACTGACCCAATCTTGGGTTGTATTCCAGACTTGATAAATATTTCAGCCATGTTTTCAGTGTATAACTACCTTCTCTATTTGCTGATGTTCTGGGGTCTCTCAGACTTCCTATTCCCTCTTTCCTATGCCAACATTTACTTGTAGGTGCTTGCTTCCACACCCTACTAAGCAAGGTTATTTTTGAGAAACTGATGTTAATAATTTTTTATTTGAAAAGTTGGCAGATTGAAAGTGCTGTCATTCATTCTGGTTTTAGTGGAAACTAGACACCTGAATATCTCTGTGGAACTAAGCCATAATGGCTAATCTGCTAGCATAACTTTCATGTGTAAAGAAAGTAGTCCTCTTTAATAGAGGATTGAAGGACAATGAAAACTTCACCACTGGAAAAAATTAAGGGCTGTTAACAAAATTGAGTATGTAACCTTATTTTGATGCTGAAAATACTAGTTAACAGGAATTTCGAAGTGTTTTAAATGAACACAATTAAGCCAGGATGAAAACTCCTTTGTTTCTTTGCATAGAAAAATGAACTTTTTGGCGCATGTTACAGTTCCTTGCCAGATTGGGTACAAAGCCACATAGGCATAAGTCAAGCAGTTAAAAGATTTCTTCAGCTCAGATTTTCTGGCTCAAACAGGAGAAATTTGTCAGTAGCTGTTAAAAAGACCAAAAGAGAATATGTGGCCAGTTCTAATGGTGGCAAGCTAACTGCGGCGTAACAGGAAGTTGTATTCCAGGGCTAATGATAGTATGGCTAATAATGTAGAAGAGGAAGCAAAAAGTGAGATGATTCGTTTTAGTTTTAAATTTGATAGATTTACGCAAGAGGTAGAGTAGATCTACTTACACAGTGAGGACATGCGACAAAAATTGTACGTAGTAGCTACTGACAAAATTTGGTGTAAACAAATAAAAGGCCCTTTTTAAGGAAATGTTCAATTGTAGCTTGTAACTAATCTAGAAAAAATATACTGAAGATAGCACGGAGAGAGATCAGTTAAGGAACATGAGCAATCTTGTTCATGGACACAGTGAATGCAATTATTTTGTGGCTAATAAACAGTTAGTTGTGGAAAATAAACTTTGGTAGATCATCATTACGATTTCTTCTCTCTCTTTTTTTTTTTTCTTTTTTTATGTTGAGATTTTCTGTATCCCTGTTCACGTTTACAGGAATGTTAGAGCTGATTGTAGAATAACATTCTGTTATATATTTCAGTCTTACTTTTCTCCCTGTGAACAGATTTCTATTGTGTTTCAGTGTTCTTGCTGCAGTAAAAAACCCACACTTTTCTAGCGTTTGAGAGAATGAATGCCCTATCATTAACACAGTGAAACTTGCTATCAAATGCAAAAGTAAAGAAAGAAAGAAATAGTCTTTTTAAGTCCACAGTATTTTAACTGATATTTCATTATATTATTGTATACAGGTATTTTGGGGATGTGTCATTGTCAGCACTGTCTGTAACTAAAGAAAAATAAATCATATTTGACAAGGTTATGAGAATGTTATTTTATAGTAGCTGATGAACTGTTAATTGAATGACTTTTTTTAAAGTTATGGTTATCTATTATGCATAGTAGATACAATAGAAATAGAAAACACCTAGCAGAAGTCATGTGACAACAATCAAGTAAAGATTTAAAGGATAAGACTGTTTACTTGAGGGAGGTGATATGACTGGAATGGAGACCTGCTTGCCTGTACCCAGCGTATATACTTTAATAATAAAAATTTTACATTGTCAGGACTCTTCAAAGAAGAAATATATTGTCCTATTTGGCCGTTCTCTCTTTCCTATCCACCTGTACACAATCAAAATTACTTGACAAAACTTCATCTGGAAGATAGCTGCCCAATTATCCCTTGCCTCCTCTTTGTTTGTGGAAAGAGTAGTATGGAAGCCTTTTAAAAAAACAACAACAACAACAAAACCCCTCCCTTCTAAAAGGAGCTGTTTTGAGATGCAAATGCAATACCATTCTAGAGGCTAATATACTTTTTCAGAGTAAGAGTACTTTAAAGAGGTACTTTCATTTTTCTAAATATTCTTACCCCATAAAAACAATGCTTTAATGGGGTAACTGTAGCTGTTGCATGAAGAAGACATAAGAGTCATTGTCTGAAAAAAAAATACCTTTGAACCTGTGGCTTGATCTGTGACTTCTCTAGCAGGCGTGGTACCTTACGTGTGGTGGGACAAGTCACATGCTTCTCGTGTTCAGTAGTAAAAGATGCATTTTTTCAGTTTAACTGGGATTCCTAAGTGCTAACATATTGGTCATGTTTTGGTGTCATTTATTTGAATTAGTTTGTCAGTCCTACTTTAAGTTAAGTTCAAAAGATCACTCTCGTACATACACAGATTATAAGCCTTTTTCACATAAGAGTTGTCAGAATTATAGTCTGATTGTAAGTTTAGATTTTTGGCTTGGCCCCAAGAGAAGAATAGTTACTGTTCCCCAAGCGCTGTGCTATATTTTTTAATGATTTGGCTTTTTAATGCAGGAGTTGATGAGGAGTTAGAAATGCCAAAAGACTTGAGCGCACATTGTAGCTGTTTTTATTAAATAGTAACATACTCATGCCTTATTAACTTAAATGCTGTGTCATATTCACATAGTGAATGTATATCCAGGTTATTGTACATTTGGGAATCTACAGTGTAAAGAAAAAACAGGTAATATCAGCATTTGTATCAGCAAAGTGGTGGCACACATAAACCAGTAGCACCCTACAAAGCAGCCATATTTACCCAAAGGGGGAAAAAAAAAGTGTGTATATATATACCCTTTCCACTTATGTTCTAGATAGATGTTATAACTTTAGAGGAAGTAGCTGCAGCTGTAGAGTAATTAAGTTGAAAGAGGACTTATAGTGGTCTGTGATACTGAATATTAGGCTACTGGACCAGAATTAATGAGATCTGGGATCACTTGTCGGTTTTACCTGCGTGAAAGCACACAAAGTCTGTGATAACTTTTTCTTTGTGAATTTTTTTTTTCCCCCCAATAACGCAGAAGAATTTTTTTTTTTTTCCTTCCTCACCATTTGGTGATTTAAGCTCTATGAGGATGGCATATACTTCTGCTTGTTGTGATTGAGTGCTGCATTGAATACAACTAGGCCTTGAATTTGACTGCTCTTCTCAAAAAATCTCAATATATATGATTGTTTTAATCCTTTAGGCTACCAACTGAGAGAGTAGCATATAATATTGAGATGGCATATGTACAGATAATCCATAAATCTATCAGTTTCCAAGCTCTGAAGTAGTCAACTAGTTCTGAAAACAGTGTTGATGTACACAGTCTTTCAGTGTAATGGCTGAAAACAACAACAAGTACTGGATGCGGAGCAGAACGAAGTGCAAAGCTGAACCTGTGGTCAGCCATGTGGAACTGCTCTGTAAGTAAAACCAAGAATGTGTTCTTTCTAGAGGAACCAGAATCTTCCTATTGAAATATATATGCATATGTGTTTTAAGCTTTGAACCTCTACAGTCACTAACCCATGAATATTTGTGCTACTCCAGTTGCAGGAGGAGGAAGCTTGATTAAACTTCTTGGTTTTTGTCCTACTGAAAGGTGACAATTTTATGTTTTCAGATGTGTAGTTAGCCTATTTGTTGTGTACAGAGGTGGTAGGTACAAAAAGTGGCTTTTGCTGTTATGTCAAAATTGAGAAGTGGTGTTATATGTTAGACCTGAAATCAGTGTTGTACAAGCTGGAAGAGAAACAAGTTTCTTCTCAGTAACCAGAAAGAGATTCTAATCTCAGAAGGATTTCTAATCTTACAATGTTTTTCAGGGAGATATTTTGAAAATTCCCTCACATGTACTTTCCTCTGTCTCCAGTGTTCTACAAAGACAGAGCCAAAACTATAATCAGCTCTTTTCCTTCTTTGTTTGATGCACCTTTTTCCAGAACCACCTCCTGCTGAGCTTTCTTCTTTTCCACCAAGAAGCAAAACAAATAGTTAACAAGTATGTGGTATGTGCTGATGGGAGGAAGATGCCCTCATGCTTGGGTCAGATACCAAGTATGTATGTAGACTAATTCAAGGGCGGTGAAAAGGTTTCTTGTCTTTTTTTTTTTTATATTTCTATTTTATTTGAGATTTGTATTTATCTTCTAGTCTTCAGAAAACTTATAGCTCCCCTAAGGAGGGATCCCTCTCCTTAGCTTTTGTCCCTGATAGTGCAGAAAATGTATTCCATAAAGGCCTTCCTCCCTTTAGAAGGGCAATGATTGCTTGGTGATTTTTGACTTCTTTCAGTCTGTGCCATAGTTCCTTAAATTCTAATTCACCTTCTCTTTTGTTTGTTGTTGTGTTCCTCTCACAAAATTTCTCAAACCTAAATATTAGCAGTAATTCACAGATCTGGTCAATATCTTCTTTTTTTAGTATTTCTGTTTAACTGTTGACCAGTTCTTTTCTCCACTTGCCTCACACTTTTCTCATACCATCTTAATATTGTCTATTTTTTCCGCTGGGTATTTTCTTTCAGTCTCTCTGTTTCCTCTTTCCGGGAGATGTGTTAGTAACGTGAAAGGCTAGGTGAGGCATTTTCTGTTCTTCTTGTAGCATTCACTGAGATGCTTCTTTTACTTATATAGTAGTCGCTGTTGTAGTGCTGTTGTATCTGTGGCGGTGAATTCTTTGACTCTTTAGACTATTACAGTTTATCCGTTTTCACATATCTTGGGCAACTGTAGACAGTGAAAGGACTTGAATAACTGGAAAATACCCAGTTTCTGTCTTCTGTAATGGGACAGTTCTGGAACTGTAGAGCTAGTGCATGCATGTATATATCTTGCTTTTGCTAGAATTGTTGCTACTACATAAAATACTTCTTTATGGCATATAAGTGTGGCCTCTGATTATTTACTGAACATAAAGTTGCTCCAATTTTGTGCGGTTGAATCTTAGCGTCAGGAAGGAGCAGGTGTATGTCTGGGTGTGGCTGTTGTGCATATTGAAATCACCTTACCAGATTACTAAAAAACCTATTGAGAGGTAGGCATTACCCGTAATTAGAATTAAACACCTAAAAAGAAGGTGAAAAGACTCTCTGAAAGCTGGTTTTCTTGGTCTAGTGAACTATTTGTTGAGATGGCTGTGTTTTTAAATGATTTTTTTTCCTTCTGTTTCCAGGTTTTCTCAAATAATGATGAAGCCCTTATTAACAAAAAATTACCCAAAGAACTTCTATTAAGGTAATCTATATAATGGGTAAAGGAATTCAAATCTGAGGATCATATATTGTGTGATTTACAGGCTATAAATTACTGCTCATTCTTTCTTAAATCCGTCTTGTAATGAATAGAAACATATTTGGTTTTATTTCTGGAATTCTAGAATGTGTTTTCTTTTGGTTAGTCTTGATTTGTTTTAATGTGTTGAAATTATACTATACCACAGAAGATACGGTTTATTGATAAACTTTCTTACATACCAGAGAAAGCATTGAAATAAAATGTCCGGGAAGCTTTGCTATATAGAATACTCAACAAAACTCTTTTCTACCTTGTGCAAAGTTGTGTCTGTCTGAATAGTGTATTATTCTTTCTGTAATGTAATACCCTGTGGTGCATATTCAGACTCCTCTTGTTATGAGCTCTGGTATAACAAAATAAAATGTAAATAAAACTTCAAAGCTTTCAAAAAGTCACTACAGTGAAAAACATTGCCTGTTACTGTTACTCTCAGTCTATGTTGTACAAGTTAGGAGTGAGGGAGGGTTTTTCCTTACTGTAGTCATTCAGCTAGCCATGAGTCTCACCAACTTGCTGGAGTGTAAGTAGATCATTTGTGCAGGAATTGGCTGCAAGATCAAGAAGTTCAGCCTGTGGTTAAAACACCGATGGATGTCTTCATACTCTCATCATGGTAAAAGTTGATTTCAAGCAAAGCGCAGACTGCCTAACACAGAAATACTTCTCGACTGGATGTGACCACTTCTCCTCAGAGCTAAAACCGAACCAGCACAACATATCTTCCATATCTACCTGTAGTTTCTACTACAGTCCATTCATCCTGCAAAAAAAAAATGTTCACATGCATCGCTACAGTTAGTTTTTAATGATGATGTTATTAAAACTAAGCTCATAATTTGTTCTTCATATACTGAAGAGCTGTTTAGGTGACCTGGTATATCATTGTTGCATGTCTGATGTGAAAGGGAGAATGTCAGAAGCAAGTGTTTTGCTATTTTGCATCTAAAGAAAGTGTTCCTAAAATGTTATGACATCTTCTAGTGTCTGTACAGTGCTGTCATGGTGGTATTAAGGTCGATTGTTAAAGGATTTGAATTTACATTTTATTTTTTGTTGGGAAATATTCACTCCATGTGGTCAAAATGTTGTGAATTAGATCTCTAGAACTGTTTAGAAACTCTGACTAAAAGAGAGGCATCACTGAATGATATCCTGAACACAAATTCTGATGATTTTGCTTTGTTGCACTCAATGTCATACGTGAGCCACAAGATGAAAGTCACTTAATACGCTGCCTCCTTAGCGAGCAACCATAATCTGAACACGCTTCTTTTTTAGCAGTAGGACTCTCCAAATTTGTCTGCCTTTACTGTGGTAACAACAGTCCTCTTCACTGTTACATGTGTTAAAGATCCCAGTTATGTAGTTCAATAGAATTCATTGAGTGTGTTTTGGATAGTGAAAACGAGTGTAGCGTGCACTAAGATGGTAGAGAGATCTTCTTATGAAATAACTTTTTTAGTTATGTGGTATGCCTTAATCCTCTGTTTCTAGTGCAAATATGTCCTCTCTTGGGATGTCACAGTGACCAACCAAAGCAGCGTTGCTGCTGTAGCCAGAAGAGCTGGGGGTCTGAGAAAGTGACTTGGGGCAGTTAGCTCTCTCCGTAAGGGTAGGCTGAGCCAGGCTCTAGAAAGGCTGGAAGGTAAGAGGTGACCTGAAGTCCTACCATAGCTCTCCTTAGGTACTGCTCAAGATGGAGACTTGAGGCCTGTATTCTCAGATACAGCTAACTGGCTAATTCTTTTTCTTTTAGAATGTGTCTGGAGAAGTAGGAGGTGGTGGTGGCAGTACCTACAATTCGTGGGGTAACCTCATGCTTGTATGCTGAGACTTGGGTGATATTCTGCCCACAGTCAGAGAGAAATAAAGTTCACGCTTTCTCAGCATCCACAGTATTGTACTGATCCTCAGGGTAATAACAGGGCTTTGGAATGAAGCAGAAGGAGATAAATAGGAGAAACAGTCTGTAAACTTCCTCTTGAAATTGTACTACTGCAGAGCCAAATTCACATGGCCAGAGACTGAGCATGTTAGAGGGAGTATAATGATGGGACATAGTTCTAGGTTGTAATTCCCACGGAATGCTAAAGTGCCTAGGGAAATTTAGGGGTGCAAAGTGGATGTCTAAAGGATTATTGGTGGGAATTTGTGGTTTATGTCCTGAACGGAAAATGCTTTTGTAAGCCTGAGCATGAATATCTTTTAAAACCTAAAACGCAGTTTGTGCTTGTGCTACTATACTGTTTAAAATTGTCTTGTAGTATTATTATGCCAAAAGAGATTCAATGCTGCTGTACTGAGTATAATTAATAACCTAATTATTTTTACTATGTTAACTGTGTAGTCTATACTTTAATTAAAAAGAGTAAATCAGTTGCTGTGGAAACATTTTTCTCACAGGGCAGGAACTAAATAGTAAATGCTATTGCAAGTATCAAATGCACTTACTTTGCACCTTATATCAGATACATAGGAATACCCTTGGAAAACACTGCAGCTCTTTCTTAAATGTCTAACACTGGACATGTGGAAAAAGTGCTTAATACCATGTTGTTACATTCAATTTTCAGATATTTGTAAACGCAAAACTTCTAAGGCAAGAATCAATCTATTCTCGTTTGCATGAAGCATTTAAACTTGCATAATGTGACTGTAACGAGCTGTCCAGTTTTTCTCATTAGACTTTAGAGTCTAGCCTATTTCTGATAGCAGGCTTCGGAAATACTACTCCTTTTTAAAACTTACTCGTTGATTGAATAGTTTTATGCTCTGAAGTTAAACACAGTAATTGTCTGGTCTTATACTGCAGTCCTTATATCTTTCTCATTACCTTACCCCCCTGATTACTATTATTTATCTAACATCTAAAATTGGATTGCAAGCTCCTCAGGGCAGGCTGATGGCTCTTGCTCGTTTCTTCAGACTATCTACCACACTTCTGAGTAAATGACTGAAACCTTCAGCCTCTCAGACGAGGAAAAGTTCGTTTGGAAGTACCAAACCAAAGAGATCAGTTGTTCTGTCTCAAGTAGACTGGATAATTGGGCAGAGGAAGAAGAGAGTACTTCAAGAAACCCCTAGTTTGGAGAGAGTAGTCATGATTTAAGGTAGGCAGGAGAACAGTTTGAGTGGAGAAAGGGAGGCCTTTCATGTATAGCTTTCCTGTTTTATGGAGGTTAGTTTTTATTTGTAATATTGGAGTCAATTTTTTTTCTCTGAAGAAAATAGATTCTTCCAAAACTTTGATTGTTTTGTAGTGCTGTTCAAGGCAAAAGAAAGATAACTACCCCTTTTGCCTGTTGTAGTGCTATTAGTTTGCCAGTTGGCAAAGGCCACTAGACCCTTTGCTCTTATATTTTACGACAAGTGAAAAGTCGAGTGAATGCTCAATTGAGTAGTGTTTGAGTAAGAATGCCATGGAGGTATTTTAAAACTTGTAATTTAAGCAAAAACTTTGGACAATTGTAGCTTTATTTTTTCTTAGCCTGTACACTTATGGAAAAGCATTATTTGATTATGCAGTACATTACTTGCAGACTTGCATTGGAATGTGAAGTTAATAAATCTTTATCTGTCACAGAAGGATCAGAAATAAGGTCTGAGATGGACTATTGCAGTTTTAACAGTAGTGACTTTTGCGGTAAGATGTTGCAGTCTTCAGGAAGAGCTGCTTTTTATTTTTCTATTACTTGTAAATTGCCAGAATTTTCTAAAAGCGCTAATAAGTCTTACATTGTCCTAAAAATTTATGGTTTAGTGAACAGTGCTGTTTCTTTAGATAAAAATCAAAACATTTAATCACTTTTCAGAAGCTTCATCTTGTCCACGGCCAGTGTCTATAGTTCATTCTAATCACTTGCTTTGTTGGGTTTCTAATCACATCCTTGGAGTACCACTGGAAATAGGTAGGTGACTCCACAGGAGTGAATCTAGATTTGATATTACCCTGTTCTCAGTCCTGTTGCTGTTTCTTGCTTTCTGTCAATGTCAGATTCCATACTTCTAGCTAACAGTATATTTTCTTCATCTTTACCTAGAGGATTTTTCTCTAGAGAGAAGTAAGTGTGATCTTGCAGTGCTGTAGCTGCTCTGCACTAGTTCCTTGCATTAACATTTTTCTGGCATGCTAAAAAGGAGAACTTGCTTTACTTTATGAAAGTCATTTGCACAAGGCACTATTAGACTTCCATATACAGAAACTATATTTGTGTATACATACTTAAAGGAGATAAATCTTACTTTCATAAGCAGCTTCTGAACAATTAGGCTCCTCTGTATGAATGCAGATGATGCAGTTGTATCAATTTAGTTGTTTATGGTTCTAAGTAGCTATACTTGCAATTGCTTCTAGTCCTCCAGAGAAGTCTGTCAAAGAGATGTAAAACATGGTCTATGTCAAAATTAAAAAGATTGTGTATGCATTACAAGGTTTGAATGTTTTCCTGAGATTGTCAAACACTGAACAGCAATCTTTGCTACTCGGAGCAAAATATTGTCTTGTTTAATTATCAGCTGAAGTGAGGAAAACGAGGCAGCGTAGTTGATTGTCATGTTTGAGATGATAATAGATTTTTTTTCCTTCAAAATACACGTATTGTTTGTCTGCTTACTGAAATTCTTGCCAATTTTAAATCAGTTCCAGATGCAAATTTGTATTTCTTAGTTCTTTGACTAACCAGTTGTTTCCCTCTACACATTTTCTGAGTTCTTTATATGATATAAAGTTCAAAACACTTGCAAAGGATTACATTGTTACCAATTAAGTTTGACCTTTTGAAATTGGGAAGGGTAGCTGCCATCCTCTATTTGATATGGTTTGGTGATTATTTTTTTTTTTTGTTCACGAGTGCAAGGCTAAGCTTAAATCTGAATGTTTTGGGCAGAGATGTTTCATATGGAATTCCTTTAAAAAATGTTTGTGAATGAGAGCCTGTAGG